AGTACCGCCGTGGTAGCCGTCGCCAACACGGTTCGTGAGAAGAGCCGTGGTGCCTGAGTCGGTGGGGCTTGTCCGTTGGCGATCCAAAAGCATGAGAGCAGAACGGACGTGCAGAAAAGTTGGCATGGGATCCTGGAATTGCATGAAAGATGTTTGTGCCTGAAGATCTGCAGGGAGACCACGAAGCATCTGTAGAACAAGTTGGTGCTGGGAGGCTGGTGCATCAACATCGTCCAGCCAGTCGGCCAGATTCTGCAATTGTTGGCAATAAGCCGCCATGGTGGAGTTGCCTTTGATGGTTGTGCGGAATTCATGTTCCAGCTGCATGGCCCTGGCATGTTTGTTGTCGTGGAACAAGTCGTGAACGACTTTCCGGAGAGCAGAGGCAGTAGAAACAGAGGAGATTACGAAATCTGAGACCTCATCGGTGATGGTAGAGAGAATCCAACCCTAGAGGAGAGCGTCGAGTTGGAACCATTCGTCGTCGTCGTCGGAGAGGGGGACAACAGAACTGTCGATGTAGCCCTAAAGATTGAATCCCCTGACTAAGAGGAGGAACAGACGACTCCACTTCTTGTAATTAGGTTGAGAGAGGCTGAGTTGAACAGGAACGTGAAGTTTCACGTTGGAGACAGTTGTGAAAGCAAGATGTGGGGGTTTAGAGGAGAGAGTTTGAGAGGTGACCTCGCTTACTTCGGCCATGGTAAGAGAAAGAGGAGAAGGAGGTTTCCGGTTGTGTGGGAGACCTCGCCGCTGGTTTGGCAGCCGCAGGAGGACGCGGCGCAAGGAGGAGGGCAGCGGCGTGACTAGGCCGAGAGGAAGAAGAGGGGGATTAGGGTTTTGTGTTTTTAGGCTCTGATACCATGTAGAAAGATTATTTTTATTGAAAGAATATGTGGGAGTACATGTGTTTATATAGACATGAGATTCCTATTCCTATACAAGGTAGGAGTCAATAATATGAAACAATATATTTACATTAAATATAGAATATATTAAACATAGCCGTATAAATCCTTGGGTAAAGGTTCAAGGATAGCCTTTTAAATTCTTGGGGGAACAGTAGAAGATAGCCGTTAAATCTTCATTGTATACGGTTCGAGATAGCCGTGGTGAAATCTCGGAGTGAATCCTATTGGCAATGGTTGTTTGCCAAACTAGTGCGGTGTTTTGACGGAGTTCAAGAGGCCGGAACTTAGTGGATTCGGAAATCCTTAAGGAGGAGCCTTAAGGTACTGGAGTAGGGAGTTCCCGAACCAGTATAAAATCGGTGTGCATTTTATTTAGGCTTTTATTTCTGCGTTTTATACATTGCTTCCGCATTTGCCAACACCGTTTTTATTAAACTCCGAAAAGATCTTAAAACGCCTTATTCACCCCCCCTCTTAGGCGTGGGCACAACGACTAAACCGACTAACAATAGTTTGAAAATTTAATAAAGTAAATTTAATAATAAATTTTATATAACCTTTTAAAAAGTAATTAATAAATTTAATAAATTATTTAAATTTTAATAAATTTAATAAATTTAATAAATTTTATAATAAAGAAAAAATTTAATAAATTTTATATAACCTTGTAAAAAGTAATTAATTAAATATAAGATATTAAAATATATTTTAAATTGATGAAAGACATATTTATATAATAATTAGAATATGAAAAGTTTTATATATACAAATTTTTGGTAATTAAATGCAATAATCCTGAATATTTTTTAAATAAAAAAAAATAGTAAATGCCATTTGGAGCAATAAAATGATGACTCTATGCCATGTGGATAAAAAATTTTGCCATGTCATACGCCACATGTCTCCACTACAAAGTTTGAACTCTCTTTTACATATATACTAGTTTTTACCCCGTGCTTCGCACGGTCTCGCATATTTCTCTATAAAATATATCTATATGTTAACATAGATATTTTAAGTTAACATTTTGGATGTTTGTTAAAAGTTTAATTCATATATGAACATAATATGAATTAAAATTTAATTTTATTTATTTTAATGTTTTAATAATAATATGATATGCATTAATAAAATAAATAATGTAATAAGATAAATTTTTTGAAACAAATCATTTAATTAATAAATATGCATATGTGATTAAATTTTTATAATCATTTTTTAAAAAGTAATAAACTAAAATAAGTTGTGGATAGTATAAATACACACACATACACACACACACACACACACACACACATATATATACACACACACACACACACATATATTTTATATATATATATATATATATATATATTGCTGCTGGCATCAAATGCCTTGATTAGTTCTATTCCCGTAACTAATACCATACTACCAGAGTTATTATAGCAACTACAAGTTTGTGCTTCCATAACAATCAAAAAAGAAGTTAATTAAGGACATCCTCAGACAGCATCTTAAGAAGTTATCTTCCTTTTGCTACTTTTTTTACCCTTAGATTTAGAGGCACCACCACCGCCATTATCGGCACCACACTTCTCTCCGGGCGTCTCTAGGGCTGTGTTTGGTGTAGCAGCCATTAGTTGAGATAGATTTATGACACCATCACCATCTTTGCCTAAATTTGTAAGAACTATTATCTCCTTCTGCTTTCCAATGACACCACTCATCTTCTCATAAGCTTCAATCTTCCCAAGAGCATAATCCAATTCCTTGGCTAGCTTTGAGTTTTCCTTTGCCAAAGCCTCATTCTTTATGTGGGAGTCGATATACAAGCCTTTGTAGTTGAGATCCTCATACGTAGTTCCACTCAGTAAGGGCTGTTTGGATGCCTTAGATTTTTGATGTTCTTTTGCTGTCTGGTACAGGAAGTCAATTTTCTCTTCCATGCTCACTTGTTCGTCATCGTGTTTTTCGTCATCACCATTGTCACTTTCATGCACAAGTGGAGTGTTGGGAAAAATTATAGATTTTGATGATGATGTATTTAGAATGTAATAGGGACTTTAGGTCTCCCCCAATATTCAATGTAACTTTTGTTTTTAGAAATATTGTTAAAACCGAGTTCTTGAGATTTCCAATTAAGCTGTGATATTTCTTTAAGTGGTTTGATGCTTGAACACTTAATCAAATTCAGTGATATGGAAATTGGATATCTTGATCGGAAATGTCAGAGACAAGTAAGGATCTCTCAAAGCAAATGAAAATCCTCCAATCCGGAAGACTACATGATAACCGGATGTCTCGCTACAACCCGCTGAATGCTAAGTCACCCAAGTCGGAAGACTAGCGCGGATCTCTTTCTCACCCGGAAGACTGAGAATGATTCTTTCGGATTTGTCAGCCAAGAACCGGATGCCTCAAGGAAGACCGGAATTCTCAAAAAGCGGACAACTGAGAAAAGACTTAGAAAAATTATCTAAGTCTTGAATGAAGAAATTCTACCCGTTGGTAAGGAAAAATCAATCTCTTGATTTTCAACGGCTAGAATGAAGATAATTATGCTGATTCAAGAACAAATGACTCGAAGACAAAGTCTGGACCTCTAAAAAATGAAGAGCCTGTCCAGAATTCCTAAACAAGCACTAGAAGACAAACAGAGTAAAGTGCTACAGTTCTGAATTCTTGAACAACAGCTAGAAGACGGATTCTGTGGAAAAAGGAATCTCTCCTCAAACAATTGGGTATGTCCAAACACCCATTCCAATGAGGAATCTTAAAATCACAATCTTCATTCGAAATTGAAGCCAACAAATGCAACGGATAGTCTATTATGATTCAACGGATAGATTATCCAATCCAGCTATAAATAGCACCCTTGGAAGACTGGAGAAGACATGAATGAATAGACAACGAAGCAATCTCTAACAACAAAGCTATCTCATTCACAGTTAGCCCAAAAAGCTTGATAAAGAGAGATTTCTAAACTCCTTATCCAGAAGCAAACTTCTCCTCCTTCCAAAGAGCTATAGTGTAAACACTTGAAGGTTTCCTTGCCTCAAGTACCACACCACGTTGAAGGATACAACTTTTGATCAAACTTCTTGATTGAAAGGGGTAGGTCAACTTTCTTACAAGTTGATCTTGCAAGTCCTATTGTTCGGACGTTGCAGTTGTTGAAGAAGCGTGACCTTCGAAGGAACAACAAAGCCAGCACGAGTGCAGTAGCAACATTGGCCTTGCGAAGATATACCGTGCAGAAATTCACACTAGTGTAATTGTTGGTTCATTATTCAACAACCAACTACATAGTGGATTTTGAGGACGTAGAAGGATTACCCCACCTTCGAACCTCGTTAAAGTTTGCGTGTCTCTCTCTTTTATCTTTACTCTTACTTGCAATTATATTAATTGTGAAAACTAACCCATCCATATTGATTACTGCTCACTCTACCCACCAAATTCCGCACACAATCTAAAGTTCACAAGNCAAGTGTAATTGTTGGTTCATTATTCAACAACCAACTACATAGTGGATTTTGAGGACGTAGAAGGATTACCCCACCTTCGAACCTCGTTAAAGTTTGCGTGTCTCTCTCTTTTATCTTTACTCTTACTTGCAATTATATTAATTGTGAAAACTAACCCATCCATATTGATTACTGCTCACTCTACCCACCAAATTCCGCACACAATCTAAAGTTCACAAGGACTCTAGATTAACACTCATTTTCACGTTTTCAAAAGAAACGAAAGAGTTTTAAATTTGTAACAAAGTCTATTCACCCCCCCCTCTAGACTTTGTATCTCACCACTTTGGGGACCACCATGGAGTGATGCCTACTTGTTCCTCAAAGTGTATATATATATATATATATATATATATATATATATATATATATATATATATAAACACACACACACACACATACATATATAATATGGAGTATATTTTACAATGATGAAATATATATTTATAGAATTATTAAAAAATGAAAAGGTTTTATGCAAATGTGTTGGGAAAATATTATAGATTTTGATGATGATGTATTTAGATTGTAATAAGGACTTTTGGCCTCCCCCAATATTCAATGTAATTTTTTTTAGAAATATTTTCAAAACCCAGTTCTTGAGATTTCCAATAAAGATGTGATATTTCTTTAAGTGGTTTGATGCTTGAAGACTTATAATCAAATTCTGTGATATGGAAATTGGACATCTTGATCGGAAATGTCAGAGACAAGTAAGGATTTCTAAAAGCAGATGAAAATCCTCCAATCTGGAAGACTACATGATAACCGGATGTCTCGATATAACCCGCTGAAGGCTAAGTCATCCAAATTGGAAGACTAGCGCGGATCTCTTTCTCACCTGGAAGTCTGTGAATGACTCTTCCGAATTTGTCAGTGAAGGAACGGGAAGCCTCAAAAAAACCGGAACTCTTAGAAGCGGACAAGTGAGAAAAGACTTAAGAAATTATGTAAGTCCTGAATGAAGAATTTCTACCCGTTCGTAAGGAAAAATCAATTTCTTGATTTTCAAAGGCTAGATTGAAGATAATTATGCTGATTCAAGAACAAATGACTTGAAGACAAAGTCTGGACCTCTCAAATTAAGAAGCCTGTCCAGAATTCCTAAACAAGCACTAGAAGACACACAGAGTAAAGTGCTACAGTCCAGAATTCTTGAATAACAGCTAGAAGACGGATTCTGTAGAAAAAGGAATCCCTCCTCAAACAATTGGGTATGTCCAAACACCCATTCCAACGAGGAATCCTCAATCACAATCTTCATTCAAAATTGAAGCTAGCAAATGCAACGGATAGTCTATTTTGATTCAACGGATAGATTATCCAATCCAGATATAAATAGCATCCTAGGAAGACTGGAGAAGACACGAAGTACATGAACAACGAAGCAAACTTCTCCTCCTTCCAAAGAGCTATAGTGTAAACACTTGAAGGTTTCCTTGCCTCAAGTACCACACCACGTTGAAGGATATAACTTTTGATCAAAATTCTTGATTAAAAGGGGGTAGGTCAACTTTCTTACAAGTTGATCTTGCAAGTCCTATTGTTCGGATCTTGCAGTTGTTGAAGAAGCGTGACCTTCGAAGGAACAACAAAGCCAGCACGAGTGCAACAGCAATATTGGCCTTGCGAAGATATACCGTGCAGAAATTCACACAAGTGTAATTGTTGGTTCATTATTCAACAACCAACTACATAGTGGATTTTGTGGACGTAGAAGGATTACCCCACCTTCGAACCATGTTAAAGTTTGCGTGTCTCTCTCTTTAATCTTTACTCTTACTTGCAATTATATTAACTGTGAAAACTGACCCATCCATATTGATTACTGCTCACACTACCCACCAAATTCCGCACATACTCTAAAGTTCACAAGAACTCTAGATTAACACTCATTTTCACGTTTTCAAAAGAAACGAAAAAGTTTTAAATTTGTAACAAAGTCTATTCACCCCCCCCTCTAGACTTTGTATCTCACCACTTTGGGACCACCAATTGGTATCGGAGCAAACTTCTCACTATCTACGTTTAGATTAACGAGAAGCGATCATAATGGTGAACAATATGGATCAAGGTTTGCCCATGTTTTCTCTTCTAGGTTATGATGATTGGAAGATCATGATGGAAGCACACCTCTACGCCCTACATGATTGCATGTGGATGGTGCTTGAGGATGGACCCTTGAAAATCCAAATGGAGAATCCTGAGAGGAATCCAGCCACTCCAGATGTAGTCCAGTACATTCCAAAGCCCAACGAAAAATGGGATGATAGAGATTGCAAAAAGCACAATCTGGACAACGTCGCCAAAGCAGCCATCTTCAAGACACTTGATCCCATCCCCTTCTCCAAGATCAAGCATTTCAAGACTGCCATGGAGATTTGGCAAGGTCTTGGGAAGCTATGTGAGGGATCTGAGGATCTGAGAAAGCAGAAGATAGAAGTCCTGCTTGAGAAGTTTAAAAGCTTCAAAATGCTTCCCGGAGAATCATTTGATATGTTGGATGAAAGATTCCACAAAATCTTGAATGATCTTGCATCACTTAACCACGTTCTTTCTCCCAAAGAAAAGAATGTAATGTTACTCAGATCACATCCAACCGAGTGGTACACCAAAGCCACAGTCATGGAAGAAGGAAGAAATCTGGAGAACTACACTGTCCAAGGTCTCCTTGATGAACTCAGAACCTATGAGCACGAGCTAAAGAAGAAGAAGGAAGAACAAGTCACTCCCTTCCCCACGGCATTGATGACAACTCCAAGAGTCCCATCAAGTGAAGGGACATGCCCAAGGAACTGCGACACACCTTCCTCCAGCTAGCCGTCAAGCTCAAAAATGGAGAACTACGATGAGGAATTTGCCATGATGGTCAAACAATTCCGGAAGTTCAAGAAGTTCTTCAAGAAGGCTGACTCAGTCAGAAGGCCATCCAAGGGAAAGCCACAGGTAAGTGACTCCCCTCCTGAATCTTATTTGTGTTATAACTGCAGGAAGCCTGGCCACTGGAAGTCAGCATGCCCGTACCCAAAGGTAGAGAAGTACGGAGAAAGAGAAAGGAACGAGAAGAAAAAGAAGGCAATGGTTGCTGCTGAAAGTGACGAGTCATCCAGCTCAAGCTCGGATGAAGAAGCCCTCGTCTGCATGGAGCGCAGAGCTGAGAAGTCCAACCATAAGGACCGGTGGACTATGTCAGAAGATGACACCCTCTGCCTAATGGCCAAAGATGATGCTGATCAAGAGGTAACTTCACAAACCTCCTGCTCATCTTCTTATGAAAGCATACCAACTTCTGAAAATCTTTTTGACCAGTTCAAAAAGATGATGGAAGATTTTGAGGAAATAAATCTCAAACATTCATCCTTAACAGAGGAGAACAAGCTATTAAGTGAAGAGAATCTCAAGTTGACTTAAGGTCGGAAAAGTCAACTGGATGAGATCACTCAACTTAAAGCTGAAAATGAATCTCTCTCTGAAAAGGTGAAATCCCTTAACAAGGAGCTAGGGATACTTAAGTCGAAAGAAGTAGTGGATAAGCTTCTTGAAACGACCAAACATAAGGGTCGTGAAGGACTTGGGTTTGACCCCTCCAGTTCCAAAAGGAAAGGGAGAACAACTTTCATCCCTCCTAAACCTACTGCCAAACCAAATAGGCAGAAAGGAAAGGAAAAAGGAGAAACCCACAGAAGTTCCCAAAAAGGTAGTCCATCATAAGAACTATAGGAAGCTGGACAGACCTCAAAGAGGAAATAATTTCAGAAGAAAACCTTCTAATCCCCACTATACACAAGGCTATACTCACTATGGGGTAGATAGGAGTTTTCTGAGAAATTCTGAGTGGAGAACTATGCCAAGATATAGTCATCCTCCACCCCAGAAATTATTTGTACCACCTAAGTATGCTTACAACCGTCACAGGTCACTGATGATTGAGTTTTTCGGTATGTCAACCTTCCCAATGAAGGGTTAGTTTTCTCCGAGTGTCGTGTCTCTCGAGGAGTGGACAAAGGGAATTAGCTAATTTTTCTAACTAGACGAAGGTTTGGACAAGTCTGAAAGTCTTCTCGATTTGATTTGAAAATAAACTAAAGTACTAGGTGCTTTTTGAGAAAAAGAATAAATAGTACGGGTATAGGACTAGACTTTGGGTCAAGGCATCATCTGAGTTAACTACTGTTGTCACATATTTAATAAATAATTGGAATAATAATATTTCTGTCACAAATATTTCATTAACTTATCCTCTCTCAAGGCAACATTAATGTGTTCTAAAAAGATTGGCTCAATTAATTTTATATCCTCATAGACAAAGCAAAAACTAATTTCCAAAAATTAATTAATTTTTCTCTCGACATAATTAATTAATTTATCAATAAAAATAATTTTAGAACAATTATTCCAACTATTAAATAAACATACAGAGTATATGCCCAAATTTAGCCAGGACCCTAATCTGGGTCCTAACCCATACTAAATATCAACAATGCATAAAATAAAAGAACATTTTATTAAAATTGTAAGTATTAAAACTTACAACAGAGAGCAGAGTCGGAGCCATTTTGGGACAACCGGAACAAAACTAAACTAAAATATTAAAATATAACTGAGAAAAGAGCTAGGAATGGAGTTCCGGGCCTTAAAGACCCGGAAGAAGGCTTTTTATTTAAATGAAGGGGCGAAGCCCTCCTTTTATAGGAGAAAATTTCGGTCCAGGCCTCCGACAGGCGTGGGCCTGAGTTGCAGGCGCGCGCCTGGAGTAGTAGTGCGTATGGCTGCGCAGGTTTGGTTGATTTGCACGGCGATTCTTCTTTCGTCCCTTGCTCCCCTTTTCTTAACTTTTTCTTTCTTTGTTTTTTCAATGTATGCTTGAAATTGTGGTGGCTGCAAAATGTGACGTGCCACCTTGCTGTTGCTACTACAGTTGGCCGGCCAGCCAGGTTGCACCACGTGGCAGCGCCTTGTTGGCTGGAATTTGATCTGGTCTGAAATATTTTTCCAAAAATGCTATCATGCTCAAAATTTTATTCTGAATAACTTTTCCTTCTATGCTGACTTCAAATTCTGAACAAATCTGGGTCAAACGAATTAATTTTGAATTGAATCATCATTTTTTTTCTTTTTCTTTCCAAACAATTTCTTTTTGATGCTTTTTCAATCCGTTTGACCTCAAATCTTTTGACGGGGTGCACTTCCACATTTGAATGCACATTTTTCACTTCAAGGATTTTCGCCTTCTTTTGCTCCTTTGCTCCGTTGCATTTCATTTCCACAATCTTTTACACGTTTGTACAACTTTTGACTCAATTTTTTATTGTTTTTAAAACTAGACATAACTTTTGTGCACTTTTACAATTATGAATAAAAACTTATAAAAACCATTGAGAAATTGATTTGTTTGATCTAAAATTGGACAATAACACATTAAATATAGAGAAGATAAGTACGTACAAAATGGACTTATCAAATTCCCCACACTTAAGCGTTGCTTGCCCTCAAGCAACAAAGTACAACAACAAATGAAATTTTGAATCAAACACTTATTAAAAAGATTTTGGAAAAACTATTGACCACACTTTTAAACAATTTATTGCACAAAACTCTTTTACACTATTTATTCTTTACAAAAATAGAATTACTAGAAATAACACCCTTTTTACAAAAAAAAGTTAGCAAAATATTTTTTTTTCTAAACAATACACATAAATTAATTTTATTGGCTAAATGTAAAAGTTTTCCATTTACAAACTTAGATACTAAAGTTTAAAACAAAAGTATTGTAAGTGTTTTGTAATAACTGCAAATTAATTTAAGGTCAAAAATATGTACATTGAAAAACAAAATAAAAAAAACTTTTCTGAAATTATCATTTATTCCTATGCAAAGAGTAAGTTTGAATTTTTTTGTAGAACATCACTTTGTTATGTTGACACAAGCAAAAACTTTGATCCTCATCCCATGACATAGAACCACGAACTTTTTGAATTTTTATTCACTCAAAAGCCTCATCACACGACATAGAACCGCATGCTTTTTGGCACTCACTTCAATATAAGTCTCATCATTTGACATATAACCAAATGCTTTTTGACTTTTCAATTCACTCCAAAACTTGGTCTCACCAAAGTGTGTTCATTGAATTTTGATTTTTTTTTTCAAAACTTACAATGCAATCATTGAAATATCAAATTTTCAGAAAAATATACTGCTCATACTCAATTTGAAGTATTGAAACAGCATCATTTTAAATAACAAGTTACAAATGTTTGACCTTAACGTATTTTACAAGTTAATATTTATTCACTAAATCAATGATTTATTTTCAACACACTAGATTCATACCCGTGCGTTGCACGGCAAATAATTTATTCCAAATTATTAAAATGATATTTTCATGAAATAAATATCTAAATCTAAATTTAAATATAGGATTAACATAGATTAGTAGCGAACTATATAAAATGATTTGACACACAATCACAATATTTGAAAGAGTTGCATTTTAAATTTCACTTTTTATAACGGTATAACATGTTTGAGCAAGAAAGCTTGACGTAGCTTTTAAAAAGGTATAATCACATTCCGGTGAAAAATCGGCTTAAAGGCATCAAATATATGACATATATGAAAGTGTTCAATTGATTAAATTTATTTACAATAATAACTTGTACTGAGTAATATTTTAATTTGAAAACATAAAATCTTACCCTCATCTTTATAACATTTTAGGGAAAAAACATCTACTTCATAACATGGTTTTCACCTATATATGAGTTGCCCATATAAATACCCTAGCATAATTTTTGTAATACATTAAAAAAGCACTCATAACTCACATTCTACGTTTACCCATCACATCAAAAATATTTTTGGAAAATCAACACAAAAATATTCCTCCCTTAAATTATTTTTTAAAGTCAAAATATGAACTTTTTTGTGACGGAAGAAGTATATATATGAGCAATTATATATGCATTGCATGTTGAGCTAACTTTAATGTAGAATTGTTGGTCTCCTTGAACGAAGGGAGTATATGATGAATACTCCGTATAAAATAAAATTATATACCTAAATTTATAAATTATTGCATATCACATTAAACACAAACAATAATATATTGTTTTTTATCCAAATTTCTAATATATGTATCCAGTTGATCATTTAGCTGAGTAACTTTTTAATACTTAAATTCTTTAAATATTTTTCAACCCTTTCTAACTTTTACTAAGGCCTTCTAGTTTCTTCAAACTCCTTTCAACCAAAAGAACAGAGCCTAATTTATGTATTAATGAAAATTGATTATAATTATATATATTTAATACTTTCTCCGTCTATAAAAGATTGTCACAATTTAACTTTTTTGATCAAACTATGACACAATTTAACTGTAAGTTATGAAAAAAGGATATTTAGTTATAATGTAAATTTAGTGAAATTAATTCTATTATATATATAGTTTTGAAATGTTAAATTATTATAATATTTATATAATTATTGTAAATTGTACGGAGTATTTAATTCGCAATTAAAAGGAATCACAGTTTGATCAAAAAAATCAAATTTTGGCAATCTTTTAATGTTGATGGAGTATATTTTTTATTTAATTGTATGTCAATTTTAAAAATGATGAATTACAACAAATCAAAACTAACAAAAAATCCAGACCAAGGTATGATAGAGTAATTCATAAAAATGACTCGTGTTTTTTTTGATCGGGGTAATAACCCCTGCTGGAAACCAATCTTGAGAAGTGCAAAATGCGCATAATTAATAGTACACGTGTCTTCTCAATGTATTGATCAATGACTTCTTGGATAATAAATCGACGACTCAGTCCTTAAAAGAGAAAAAATCGACGGCTAAAATTGCATATCTCCTTGGGCGGGAAAACACCATTTTTCTTTTTTTTTTTTTCTTTTTTTCTTTTCTTCCCCAATTCTTTTGCTTTTGTATGTAGTATAGATTAGTATCCAAATTTATTTATTTACAAAACTTATTAAAGTTAGCCAATAAAAAGACTATATGTGCAATTTAAAAAAAATTAAAATTTGGGCTAATTTTTGCATAAGGGAGCTCTTAAAAATAATTCTACCTATGAAAAGAGTAAAAAGTGTAAAACAATTTTAAAAGTATCAATAGTGATAACTAGACCGGTTCAGAGTATTCGGGATCGGGCAGAAAGCTGCCAATTAGGTGCTCTTAGGCTCACCCGAATAAACCTTTCTACAGAATGACCCAGTAGGAATGGTGGGACAAGTTCGGCTCCCGAAGGCGTCACCCTTTGCGTCCACTTAAGTACCATTCCAGCTTAGACAGTCATTCCGTACACGGTGTAGAGATCAATATTAATATACAAAATGCAACAAAGTGGATAAAAATATTTTCAAAAAGTTTCCTAAACAAATAAAAATATTCTGTACCAAACTCCAATCTCCCCACACTTAGGGTTGACCTCGCCCTCGAGGTCATTAAGCGATAAAAACAAGAGTTTGGGACAGAGATAATCTCAATTTTTTCTTTAAAAAAAAGGTTTTACAAAATTGTGCACAAAAGTTAGTCATTCCTCTTTTTTTTGTTGAGTCAAAAATGGTTCACCAGCACTCCTAATTCCAAACTCCACCTGCACACATAAACACACAAAACGCGTAAAAAGGAGAAAAAAAATAAAATTTATTCACTTGGGTTGCCTCCCAAGAAGCGCTTCTTTAACGTCACTAGCTTGACGTTAGCCCGTTTTTTACTGGACTTACCGATCCGAGAGTCATAAAGTTTGACCTTTTTGACTCTATTCTGATGCCACCTTTGTTCTGTTCTTTTGTAGTCAAAGTCCAGGATCTTTGACTCATTCCTGTAGCATGGTGGCAATAGGAAAAATGGAGGAGACTCGTCTTGGATGGGTGGTGGTGTGAGTCTCCTTGGTTTATACACATCATTGGCCTTAATCGCCAGTACATGACCTTCAAAGTCTTCAATGAGCTGACTTTCTGTTGATGGCTCGATGATTACGCTATGTCCTTCCTCTGAGTCTTCAGTGATAGTTTCTATAGACGAAATGAGTTCAGCATCACAAGGTATTTTCTCGTCTATAGATTCGTCAGCCTCATCAGTATTGGAATCAAGGGGGTCGGTGGTGGGCTCGAATTTCTCCAGAACAGGTTCATCTAGAGAAGTGTCTTCAACACATGTTAGGAGCATAGATTCTGATACGAATATCGTATCGAATAGGGAAGAACTTCGAGCGTCTTCGGGCTTCAAGAAAGGAGAGATAAAGAGAAGGAAAACTTCGAGCGTTTCCGGGCTCCAAGAGAATAGAGGAGGAGATTAGGGTTTTGATATTTCTTTATTGCTTTCATAATAACGGGGAAGTGTTACAATATATAGGAAGTAAAGCTACGCTAGTTGACCTAATGGGCTCGGGCCCGTACTAAACTCTAATCTATAGAATATTAATAAATAATAATAAGTAATACGGAGTACTATATATTTAATAAATAATATAACTAATATATTATCATATCATTCCCACCTCCTTAAAATCCACCTTGTCCTCAAGGTGGAGGCTCCCACTCGTGCTTCTGAACCGGAGAGATAATGCTAAACCAAAGGAGCAGTCTACTATTTGAATCTTCCACCATCTTGGCTCGTGCAGCAAAGTGATG